GCGACCCTAACCCTTCCCACCCCTTGCCCTTCTACCCTTACCCATGAAACTCTCCCATACTACCAGCTTATATGATACTCACACCATTACGAGGTCATCCCATTCATATGTGTTCCACAGCTTCAACTTAGCCTTGCAATGACCACGGGATGCCAAGTCACCCACACCCTGTTGTTCTACCCTTATGACCAGGAGAGTAATTTTTTTACGACAGCGGGCGCACCAGCGTATTTCACTTGCGCTGGGACTCTAACCCTCTCTCTTCTTGTTCTCTATGCAAACCATATTCGAATCACACCATGTGTTGAAATGTTTTACAGTCATGGTTACCGCATAACTGTGTGTGAATATGCCTCATATCCATGTGCATTATTTCATATTGTATTTTGTGCAACTCGAAAAACACTTAAATAAGAATTCATTTAAAAAAAAAAAGTACATGTGACAAATTTTCTGTGAGCCATTATGTCTAAAGTATATTATGTACATTATAGAGGTCAAAAACAAAGATTTGCCTTGATATGTATTCAGAAATTAAGTTACATAGTTACATCGTATTTGAGGTTGAATAAAGACATTAGTCCATCAAGTCCAACCTATTAGGATCTCACTCTAGGAGTCCCTGTACCCCTGTATATTGCGGTCCCTTAAGAAATCGTCCAAACGTTTCTGGAACAATTCCACATTATTTGCTGAAATCACTGCCTGTGGCAGTGAGTTCCGGACCCTAACTGATCTTACTGTGAAGAACCCCCTTCGCCCCTTGTGCTGGAATTTTTTTCCCATCAATTTTAGGTGGTGGCCTCTAGTTTTTGTAATGGAGTTAATTTTAAACAGTTTATCACTAATGTTGCTACCACCATTGAACATTTTGTACATGGAGATCATATCCCCCCTTAATCTCCTCACCTCCAATGTGAACATGTTTAAATTTAGTAGCCTTGTCTCGTAGCTCTGGTCCTCCATACCCCTAATTAGTTTGGTTGCCCTCCGCTGGACTTTTTCCAACTCAAGGACATCTTTTCTTAGTACTGGTGACCAGAACTGGACCGCGTACTCCAGATGAGGTCGAACCAATGATCTATAAAGTGGCAAAATTATAGACTTGTCCCTGCAATACATCCCCTTTTTAATACAGGACAAAACCCTGCTAGCTTTGTTTACAGCAGCCTGGCACTGCAAACTACCTTTCAGTTTGCAGTGCATTTGGTACTTATTGCATCTTTCAGTGTTAAATGGCAAAAATGCTGTGATCGTTACCTTTTTTAATTTTTTTATGCATAATGCAGTTGGACAAGAACAAGAGTCCATTGAGTCCAAGACACCATAACAAGGAAATTTCCCAGTTGGAATATCCAGAAAATAGATGATGGAAGGCGCTTAATTACCCTACATGGCTCAACCTATTACTAAAACATGACTTTTTGGCAAGCTGACCTTTTACAATAAACTATGAAATGTAACTATTGCAGTAATGACATACAATACATACACTTTAAAAATGAACAAAAACAAATTCTAAAATGAGTTACCAAGTCTCTTAGATATCTTGGTACAAACATTTCCGTGGATTAGTGTTACCTTGTCTAGGGTGGCTTCTGTGTTAACTATATTCGTTTTAAGAGCTTTATTCTCTGACTTCAGCATCTCAACAGCATCACACAGTTTGTTTTTTTCATCTGCCTGATTGGCACACTCCTGCAGTAACTTTGCCTTTTCCAGTTTTAGATGCCGTTTTTCCTTAAAAAAAATTAAAATTACATTATAGAAACAGTACTTTTTATATAAAACCTTAATACAACACACACTAAGGGAAGTCAGTTGGTAACTGCAACACTTCTTGATTTACACTGTACTGGCATTGGTACTCCCTAAGTCATATAAATCACTATAAATATTAAAAAGCAAGTACCTAGAGGTTCCTATACATACTTTTTGTTATCTTTCAGATAGAGGTACACCGAAAGTGAATTTTTCAGACCAAAATAAAAAATTTGTCAGGCCGATACCGAAAATTATTATTTTTTTCTATCCTTTTTAAATCTTGTAATATATATATATATTTTTTTACTTTACTGTTTGGAGCTTTGGTGAAATATCAGGACTCTAAACAGGACACAGAGTCCTCTTTTTCTGCAGCCCCTGTTATGAATTAACAGAAAGCCTCTATACTGAGTGCTCCTGTCCATTCATAAATTGAGGAGATAGTATCAGTTACTATGTCTACACAATGAACAAGAAGTGATGTAAAGCTCTTCCTATTCATTCATAATTGGGGACACAGTAAGCTTACTATGTCCTCAATTATTTACAAACACTTACGCTTGTAACCCGCTCTCCATCCTGACTCGCTGTCACGGGAGGCTGAGCGGGTGGTGTGGTGTGGTGAGGAGAGCTCGGCCTCTTGTGACACTGCTGACATCTGACTCCTTCCTCACACTGCCAGCTCAGCCTCCTGTGACAGCTGACAGCTGTCTCCTCCCTGCACCGCACTCCATCCCGATTTGCTTGTCACAGGAGGCCAACCAGGGTGGTGCGGGAGGAGAGCTTGGCCATCCTGTGACACCGCTGACACTGCTCTCCACCCTGCCCTGCCTCCTAAAAGTTTATCTCCTCCCCCTCCTGCTCTATGTCCCCTCTGACACAGAGCAGCGCCCAGCGGGGAGAAGACAAACTAGAGATCCAGTGCATTTTCGGCCAAAAATTGTATTTTCGCCATTTTGGCCAAAGTACCATTTTCGGCCTGAAATTTCTGTACACCCCAGAATCTATAGGACCTCAAGTGCTCAGTTATGCAAGTTCAACTTCGGTTCCGAAGTGGAAGCTATACCTTCTCCCACATCCTGCACATCTCTACAGGTCTATTAATGTGATGAGAAATCCCATTGCCAATAATGTAGTGCAGAAGGCAGCAGGGGGCCTGCCACAGCTTTTAAACAGTCAAGTGAAAAATACATGAAATGTACCTTTGTTGTGTTAGACAGAGCCTCCTCCAAGAACTGAATCCTACTTTGTAAAGCATCAATATGTTTTCTTTTGGCTGTGATTTTCTTCTGCATTCTTGTAGCAATTTTAATAGCTATAATAGGAGATCAATATAGAAGATAAGTATATTATGTATATAGATATTAACCAATATCTATAGGAAGATACTATAGGGTTGATTTACAAAATTTAAATACGGTAGGCTGTTCAATTTGAAAGGTAATTTACACTTTGCAAGGGAACTTTCTATTGGTTTAGTGAATGTGGAGAAAATTCCCTTTGCAAAGAATACTCAATCAGTTGCAAGGAAAAAAATATATTTCTGCTTGCACATGATTGGTTTATAGACGTCAGCAGTGCTTTACCTCTTTCACTAAGCTAAGGGAAAATTCCACTGCCATCGGATCGGTATCTGGCGGGCGCCCCTATCTCTGTGTCGGGAGTGTCGATAATCAGATTGGTATCCAGCAGCCGACTGCCCCCCCATCTCTGCGCCTGGAGTATCAGAGTATCCGACACTCCCGAGACAGAGATGATGGGGCCCACCGAATGAAAAAGCCTGCAGGCACTTCATGGGGCCGCCTTGGGCCTCGGCTGTGAGGACCCAGCAAGCAGCCGTCTGAGCACACGGGCGCGCTGTCTGAGACTCTGACACACACACACTGGGGTGTTCTGCAGCCTCTCCCACCAGAAAACAGCCAGAAGAGGTGAAGGTAATAAAATGATTATTATTTGTAGCCCAGCTTTTGGACATGCTGTATAAAGTACAGCTGGTATTTGTAGTGCTATATAGCAGGTGCCATTCTGCATTGCAGCAATGCAGAATGGCACCCTCTATAGAGGACTACAAATCTGAGCAGTACTTTATACAACAATGCTATGTTTTTCTATTTTTCCAACTTCATTTTTTTGTGGTTGCTTCAGGGGGTGTGGATTGGGGGTGGTTGTGTTTTGGGGGGTGTGAGGGGCCCCCAAAAAACATCTTGCACCAGGGCCCTTTGTTCCCTAGGTCCGCCACTGGACCTGACATCATAGGATAGTAAAAGGAATGTAGATATTATTGTGCATAAGAGTTAAACTGCTGCCTTCAGGAGGTGTGGACACTAGCAAGTAAAAAAAAATAAGTCAGCCGTCGTATAACTCTGCCCTCCAACTGTCATTCCTCATGATGGTTTTTGTGAGCAAGCAGTACATAAGGACAAAAACACAGGGTGGGACCTGTGTTACTCAACAGACCTCAAGAAAAAGATTTTACGATAAAAACAGAAATCTTATTTTCTTAAATGTTCATTGAGGGATACAGAAATGTCGAAATTCTTGGACATATGGGATGGGCAACAGTCACTGAGAAAAAAAAAAAAAGTCAAAATCTTACTAGAGGAATAGCAGAAGGAATTCATGGCTGAACAAGGCTGGATTTAAAAAGGGAGAGCTACTATGGATATAACTACTAACAAAGACAGGTACCAAGAAGGAATCTGGCATCCCAGAGCAGGGCAGGTAGCATCACTAAGGGGAGACTGTTATTTAACAAAATGAACCTTAACAAGAATGTGGAAGACAACCAATCAACCACCATAAGGAAAAACAGGTGGAAGAAAAGCAACAGATAAAGCGGTCAACAAAATAAAAATGTTTACAAAGGTAATGGTCGAAAAGCCGAGCATATCTAAGCCTTGACCTAAGGAGAGGAATGTTGGGCAAACAAGTATGAACAATCAGTGAACAACTGAGGGTAGAATTAGGACACCCATAATCCATGACTTCAGGGAAAAGGAGATCTAGAATATAATAGCCCTCTCAATAGTACTCTAAAGGAAGAGAGAGAAAGAGACCTTTAAAGGAGAACTATGAGGTGAGTGAAAATCACTCAGCCTCATAGTTCGAGCCGACGTGTGACAATGAAACTGTCACACGTTGGCTCAGTAGATCGGGAAGTGAGCGAACACATATCGTCGCTCGCTCACTTCTCGATCCTGTCCCTGCAGAGAGCCGTGACTGTCAGTCATGGCTCCCTGCAGGGATTCCCCCCCCCATGTCCGATCCTCCAGCGCTGACTAGCGGAACGGACGGGAGAGGGGGCGGGTACACCTGGCTCTGCCTCTAGATAGGCAGAGCCAGCTGTCAATCACGCAGCTGGGTGGCAGACAGTAATGTCGGGATCCGTCCCAGCTGCGGCGGTCTCAGTATACCGCGACCTGTTGCTCGCGGTATACTGAGCTTTGGGTCATGGGAGGACGCTAGTTTGTGTCCTCCCGTGACCCTGGGGAGAACTATGGGGAAAAGCACTGGCCCCATAGTTCTCCTTTAATGAAACCTTTAGGAAGCAGAGATGCAGAAAATGATCTACACCAGAGTCTGTGCCATGGCTCTAAGCCTGAAAAAAGCTGCAGCTGACTGACACAGTACACAAGAGCCTGGAAAGTGCCAATATTCAGAATCCAGTGCCCGAAGGACACACATAGCTCAGTACATAGAAGGGCACTGCTCTGTAAGAGACGAGTGTCCTGTAGCTAAGAAAATTTTTATATGCACAATTTTCCAGCATCCAAATGTTGAGGCCACTAGCGAAAAACTGAGGCACGGCAGTTAGCAACGGGGTTGTACCAGGGCTGACTTAACTTTTTTTTGTTTGTTTGCCACGGTCAAAACCTCCTGAAGGCAGAAGTATAACCCATATATCCAGGGATATCTATATTTCTGTGTCCCTCAATTAATGATAAAGAAAAGCTAGCATTTCTTACCATGGCCATCACAATCTTCTACCGTCTTCAGGGTATTTTTGGTCTGTGCCAGTTCAGCAACAGCTGCTTTCAGCTGCATTTTAAGAATAGCAGTTGCATTTTCTGAACCTTCAGTTCGATTTTCGTTGTTCCTTTCCATTGTTTCATAATCTTCTGCAAGAAAGAAATATACAGAACAATATCAGCTACGTGGTGTCACAAATACTGTGCCATTTTTCTGCCGATATAGCGGCGCATCCGTTCTTTCTCTCCTCCCCACTTGGCGCTGCTCTGTGTCCTAGCGGGGAGGAGAGAAACTGTCACATGTGGCCAAGCGCTACGGGAGCAGAGCGATGTGAGCGGCCGGCGTCTCTCCTCTCGGTGTGCTCAGCCTCCTGTGACAGATCAGGGGAGAGCGGTGTGGGGGCGAAGACAGCCAGCGCTGTCACAGGAGGCCAGGCGGCGATGCGGGAAGGAGTCAGCTGTCAGATTGAGCTCTCCTCCCCGCACCGCTCCCTTAGCCTTCTGTGACAGCTGTCAGGAAGCAGAACGAGGTACAAACACTCAGCGACCAGTGATCGCTGAGTGTTTGTAAATAATTGAGGACATGGTATGGTTACTATATCCTCAATTATGAATGAATGGGAAGTGATATACATCACCTCCTGTTCATTCATGATTGTGGTTATAGTAAACATACTCTGTCCTCATGTTATAAATGAATAGGAACACTCAGTATAGAGGATTCCTGTTAATTTGTTCATTTATAACTGGGGCTGCAGAAAAAGAGATTGAGGGCTCTGTGTTCTCAGTCTCTTTTTCTATTTTAAAAGGTAAATATCAGGGCTTTGTTTAGACCCCTAATATTTCCCCAAAGCATTTAAAAGTAAAGTAAAAAATAAAAATATTTAATCAAAATAAATAAAAATAAAATGTAAAAAAATGTAAAAGTTTATAAAAAATGAATAAAAATAAAATATTTTAAAAAAAATGGAAAAAGTTAGAAAAAAAACATTTTCGGTTTCGGCCTGACATTTTTTTTCATTTCGGTTTTGTTTTAAAAATTTTCATTTTGGTGCACCTCTAGTAAAATGTGTAGGAATACCTGAAATACAGGTGCCTGAAGTGGAAGTAACAGCTCTATACAGAAGCTAATACTGTGTTTTGAAAGACCATGCTAACCGGATTACATAGATGTGGCAACTGATAAAGAAGTATTTCAGCACACTAACAGCGCAAAGTACATGGACCTGAAGCCATGGCACTGTTTCACAACAGTTAGTTATGGGCTAAAGTAAAAAAAAAGACCAACAATTTCTCAGCTTTGTGTACGTGTACTGTTGTCCCTATTCCAGTAGCCTGTGAGGCACATATGGCTCTTCTTACTTGCATACTCCTGTTGCCTTCTATGTGCTTCCTTGCCACCTTTTGACAGGTGTTTACTACTTGTCTTTATGAACACTTATGTACAAGAGACCATGCAAGGGACACCCTCATTTACCTAAATTAATTTAAAAAAAAAACTCAACACCACAGAAGGTGACCAATTAAAAAAGCCAAAATTTGGAGATGTTTTCTCACTGCAATATTGGATATTTATTTAGAGAATATGTAAATATCAGATTTTCCAGAAAAGATTTATTGATATATGATCAGTACAATAGCTTATGTTTAGGTTTACCTGATAGACACGCAAGCTCATTTTGTGTTTCTCTGAGCTCAGCTAAAATGTCCTTTCTTTCCTTTTTCAACTTGTTGGATGCACAAGTCTTTTCAATGCATTCATTTGTCAATTTGCTTTTCTCCATATTTAGCAATCTACACATCTCTTCCAGCTCATGGATTTTTATGTCTTTCTTCTCTGCCACAACCTACAAATCACACATATAAAAATAGAATACTAATATTAAAGTTTATCCCAAACCAAATTTCCAGCATACACTGCATCTGTCTTAGCAGTGCTGAGAACTGCACAGTTCATGGCGGCCAGCATTTTCCGTAGTATAATATTATTATTATTACATAGGGTTTATATAGCGCCAACAGTTTGCGCAGCGCTTTACAATATAAGGAGGACATTACAATCACAATACAATTCAAGACAAGATGGTAAGGAGGGCCTTAATAATAGCAGACAAACTAGTAACATAAGCACAAAAGTAAGAAAAAAAATCTAGATTAAGTTTTGATTAAAAAAATTCTGATTGTATTTAATCCTAATGACCAACTAATATCCATAATATGTACTTACCATACTGTCCTGTATTACTGCATTCATTAGAGATGCTTCATCTAGGAGTTGGGACTTCTCTGCTTCCAGTGAACCCACTTTCTGGTTTTGTTGCCCAACCACTCGAGTTAAAGTTTGAATCTGGTCTCGCAGAGTCATTATCATGTTATCTTTCTCCATCAAAAGCTGCTTTAATGTTTCTGTATCTTCCAGCATCTCTGACATTTGGTCTGAGGTGGCTTTAAGTTGCTGCAGCTCCTTCTTTTTGGCCTCTGCATATAAACGCAGTTTTCTCAGCTCCTCTACTGCATTCTTTAATGCCTTGTCCTTCTCTGCCAAGCTAACCTTTGATTCGTTTATGTTTTTCTCAGAATTTTTCAGGCTTTGCGATTTGGCCTTCAGCTCCTCTGTCATATTCTGCAAGGTAGCTTTCATAGACTCCAGCTGGCATGTCCTCAAGTTCAAATTTGCAGTCTTGTCTTGAATAGTTTTCAGCTTTGACAAAATAAAAAAAACTTAATTTTTTTAAATGGATTTCTTACATGTACTGTCTGCCTTAAAACATATCTATAGCCAAACCTTTTTTTTTTGTTTGTTTTAGCTAGAGTAGGAAAAGGTTATAACTCTTGACAGATTTTGTTTCTTGCTGTCTTTGTTTGTATGTATGTTTTCATATGAAAAAAATAAAAAAGGAGATCTTTATTTACCCATATATCATTAGGTTAATATACATGTACAGTATTTGGGAAAATGGGCCCCACTGACTTTGGCAACTTGTGAAGTTAAGCTGGGTCTTCTGCCGCAAACACTCAGCCTTGTTTGTTGGAAGAGGGTAAATTATGGCAACTGATAAGCAGCTGAAAGACTCTTGTTTCCCACTACTTCTCTGACAGACACTGCAGCTCACATTGGAAGGTTTTCAACAGGCAAGGCAGTGCTGACAATCCAGAAATCAGTGGGTAGGCTTAGGTGTGGCAAGGTGCTGACCAACATGCTACATGCTTGTGAATCAGCAGTGACAATGCTGATAGCCTCCACCACTGCTGTATTTTTTTCATCCCTCTGTAGTACAAGCGCCTACATGAGAGTGATAACTCTGCTCTGAATTCAGGAGCAGTGCCGCACTACCACAGAAAGCTGCGTTAGGTGCACTTTCCTGTCAGGAACAATGGGGTTTTGGGGAATTTGCAGGGGACTGTTAGAAAATTATAAGCGCAGAAGTAATTTATTAAATTTGAGGCAATAGTTTAAGGCTGAAGTGGCCCTGCAGTATGTAATGCAACACAAGAAATATATCTGTTGAAATGTTTTGCTGAAATGACACAAAAGCCACCCATGAACTAGATGTGGAGGGCGATCCACATGCCATTATGGAAAAAAAATCTATGCAGTCTTTAAATCTTAAAGGTCAGTTCTGCTGACCCTGGAATTATATGTTAATGCACAAAGGCAGATTAGTGCAGGTAGACGCTGCATCATTTATCCTGCCTTAAAGGATTTTCAACCTGTATTTTTAATATTGCCCCCCAAAGTTGTTAGCCAGAGGGCATCTTCATAGGACAGTTATCTGATCTAGTTAAAAATGACATTTCAGACCTTTCAAATAAAGCAAATATAAATATTACAAGTTTAGTCTGTATCAAGATACTTATGTTCTAATTTCCTTGCATTAGAAATGCCAGCACCTACACTTTCGACCAATTTTAGTTGCGCTAGGATAAAGTGTTTAGAGTACCAGCTGCAACAATGTGTGTAAACGTGATGGATGTGTGACGGTATGTTGCGCTTAGACCTACACTTACACTCTCTTGTGTGTTGCAGCAGGGCCATTTCTTTGCCTGCACTGGCATCTCGGAAAAAAGAGCTGAAGCTTTTGGGAAGGGGAAGAGCTTTTGGTTTGCAGCAAGTCTGGCACAGTTCTAATATGTTACTATTTAAACCTGTTGGGCAGTGAAACTTCACTACTGTAGCCCTTGACTGCTAGAGAAAAAAATAAGGCATATATAAAATTATTTGAAACATGTCTGTAGCTTAAAAACGGCCCTGAATAATGAAAGTCCAGATTGCAATACCCTGCATTTTCATACATGAGGGCCTATACTGACATTCTTAGTAAAACCTTAAGAGTTTAGACACAGCAACATCACAATATACTTGATATTACACCTTTTCTTCTTCCTTTTGCTGACTCTCTTCTTTTACCATGGTCACCATTAGTTGAAGGCGTTCTACTTCCATACTCCGTTCTATCAGCTCTCTTCGTAAGTGATCATTGGTAAATTTGCTGACATTTGCCTGTTCCTGTAACTGCCTGTTATGCTCTCTTTCCAAGTGCACCTGATTTTCACATACTTTAAGGGCCTCTTGCAAATGCTGCAGCAAAGACAAATAGTATTAAAATATTATTTAATGTATTAGACAAGTTATTAATTTTTATAAGCAAACATTTTCCATGTTTCGGCACTGTAATTATTAAAATTGATTAGCAAGCCTCATATATATCACCTATTGCATCCTTACCTTTAATTCCTGCAGCTGTTTACCAAAATCCTGACTGAGCTGAGTATGCTCATTCTGGGCCTTCTCCAAGGCATTGTTGGCTATCAACAGCTGCTTTTTCAGCTCTTCCACCTGTATTATAATATAACAAAAATCATTTAAAATTCAAGCACAGTACAGTAATATATAGTTTTACACATATTCATAAAAAGTGGTATAATATTCAGGTAACTGTGTGTTATTTCGGCATGATCCTCTATGCAACCCTTTAGCAGAGAAGGGTTCCAGTGATTTGGATGGATGAAGGCAGTGTTCTCACCATTGCTTCTAATACATAAAAACAAGAAGGATAGTGTCACCAGATCACTATGACAACACCTAGAGGATGACCTAATACAAAAATGATTAGTCATCTGTGGTTATGTTACAGGCACATTTTTGTGCATGTCTTACCATAATGCAAAATAAGCTAACAGCTTTCTCTCTTACAACATAATACCAGCAAGCCAATTCCTGGTGTATTATGTAACACTCAAAGAAAACAAGCCACTTCTGAGCCTGAAATCTGATATTTTGTGATAGATGAAAGATGTTTGCAGTTAGCCATATTACAAATGATCAAATACGAGAAAAATATAAGATTGCATGTCAATATGTGAAAATAGGTTCTTATTGGAAGAAAAAAAAACAGCAATACCAGACTACAAGTGTGTCATGTCTGGAGTTTTGGTTCATGCCACTAGAGGGAAAGGGCAAAGAAACAGGCTATATATTACAAGCGAGGCTGGCTAATAAAGGTTCCTATATATACAGGGGTTGAAAAATTTGAAAATTTGAAAATCTCATCAGTCAGTCAAAAATGTCACCAGTCAGCATGACAGGACTATAGCCTTGCAATTTATGTTAAAATTTTTTAGGGACAGATAGAGCTTTCTTTTGGTGGTATATAAAATCACCACAGGGGGAATTTTTACTGTATAATGAAAAAAGTACAGTAAATTTAAAAAAACAGTAAAAAAAAAACAAAGTTTCCCTATGTTATGTTATAAAACCTTTATTCTTACCCATATTTTTGGTAAAATATAAAAGTCGGGGTCACGTCGGGTAAATAGACACCAAACATGTCAAGCCTTAAAATTGCGTTTGCACGCAAAATCGCAGAAAATTACCACACTGAAAAGTGGCCATAGGCGATGCTTGAAACGCTTTTACCGCTCATCAGTTTAGTGTTATCAGTAATTAATGGCCCTAAAATTATTGCTCACACTCCGACGTTCGCGGTTATATGTAACATGTGCGGCACAATAGCCGCAATCGTTGTTTTCGCACGTAGGCACACCCGACGCATATCTGCATGTGTATGTGGGGGGCGGAGGACTTAAAACATTTTTTTTTCTTTTTTAATTTTTTTAATGCTTCTTTATTTATTTTTTAATGCTTTTTTAATTTTTGTATAACTTTTTTTTTTTACACAACTTTATTGCTATCACATCGGGGGGCCCCCTAAGTGATAGCCAATTTACATGACAGGTCCTCTTTATGAAGACATCAGGGGTCTCCAAGACGGGCCGGGAAGCTGCTCGTCGGGCTCCACCGCCCTCTTGCCACAGACGAGCAGACGAGTGGATTTTTCAAGCCTGTATATATATATATTAGCTGCTTACTTCCTAAACCTGCTGTAGCACAGCACATAGTAGCGCTTCATAATGCGTTGTGGTGTCCTGCAAAGCAGGTGTGTTGTGGAGATGTGTTTTAGTACTTTTCAAAATTAATGACACAATGGTGTGAATCCAGCCTTAAGGGATAACAACTGTGATTAGACAAAGTTTCCTAAACCGCAAATTGCAATCTCTCTCAAGATCTATTGACTAAGAATTAAAACGACAGATCAACACCTGGCAGAAATTGGTCAGTTATCATTTTATATCTGTGGCCAATGACACTAAACCAATGACAAAAGTGTTTATGTTGCAGCAAAACACTGCACTTTCTATCCCTTAGAGATCCCATTGCAAATGATTTTGCTTCATAAGTGTGTCCATTATTTATTTGCTTGTTTATTTCATACTAGCATAAGAGTTTTTCTACATAAGGAGCTCTTTAAAAGGCACAACGCATTTTATATAATGTAATTATTTATAGAAATGTAGCCACATTTAACATCTGTTTTGTAAATAGACACAAAGATCCTACGTGTTCTACTAGGATCTTTGTGCTCTCACCTTGTCTTTAGAAGTTTTCTTGCAGCTTTTCAGCTCAGAGCGTAGCTCAGACACTACAGATTCCAAATTTGCTATGTGTTCCTCATGCTTTGTGTTCTGTTGCCTAAAAATGAAATTATTGTAAACAAAATGAGAGTTGAAAGCTATGATAAGCAATTGAAGCTCAAATTCATCCAGAAAAAAAGTGTTTACATTGCAAGATTTCCCTTCTATTCCTCATCCATTGATAATGTAAAATTTTGGATTTACCCTTACTTTAAGTACTGGTAACTGGGTTTCTGTTCGAGCAAAAATCTTGTTTTTAAAAAAAATTTCCTTGCATATAATGAAATATTCTTTGCAATGTGAAATTCACTTTGTTTCATTTTATTTACTAAAAATAAGCCAACATTTTCTTTGCAAATTGAAAATTTATTTGAAAGAAGAAATTTACTCCTTTTTGTAAATCATCCCCATTATGTTTCAATATTGAGCCTTGTTTCTCTTTATTACATTTTGAAACTCTGTTTCTAACCCTTCAACACTCTATCCAAACAGGCTGTTCACTTTGCCAAGGAGCCTTCCCTTTGCTTCCTGAATGAGGTGAAGTTCTTCTGAATTTTATCATCCAACCATGTGCAAGCATAAATACTATTTTGTTTTTTTCCATGCACATTATTAGGTATATTTGTAAAGTGAATTTTCTCTACATTCACTGAACTAATGGAAAATTCTCTTCCAAAATGAACAGCCTATTTGCCTTTATTAAATTAACCCGGTAGGGTCCAGAACGCCAGTAATGTCTTTGACATATGGAAACAATTTTGGTGCATCAGCAATCATCAATGTAGCCCACAATGCAGATACACATCTTATGGATCAGGGAAGATAACAGTTAAATTGATTTTTTTACTATGTAAAATAGGAAGAAAATCATCTTGGACTATAGAACATGAAAAAGAACGTTGGGGTTTCAGGAAGAAGTAGTGAGTACTGGGGACCCAACACAAAGCATGCAGAATCTCTGGTCTATGTGTACCTTTATTCCCTATGAATTAGAGTATTTACAACAGTTTCAGAGGCAGTTGCAAATATAAAAGGGATATCAAACACTGTACAAAAATAAGCAAATCCAATACAAATATCACATAAATATCACTTATCTTTTAACTAAATAAGATAAATAATTAACAAAACTGTGTGCTTTTAGCAAAGTACAGAAGCAGACTTCATGTCAGCCTGTACAAGTCTTTAAACATCCTCAGTCATTAAAATTTATGTAAATATACTGCAAATTCAAGTGTGAATATTTATAAAAATCAGCTATACCCCTAATGCTCACAAGTTTTAATACATCATAATTAGGTGGCTCATAAAATAAAAAAACTTTGCCCAAACAGTCATGAATGTGAATCTGGGCAACTTGAGTCAAATCGTTCCCAGTTTGCTTATCTCTAAGCTAAGCGAGTAGAAAGTTACACATAGCATATTTTATAGAAACTGTATTTTTTGCGTTAGAAAAACATAGACCGTATACGCAACAAAATATTTTATAATCCCAGGCAATGCATTTTCTTTCATTTTGGATAGAGTGTGGAGGAGTTAGAACTTCTGTTAGCTGAGGTCTCATTGTTGAGATTTTGTCAATTCCTGTTCTTGTGATAACGTTTTCACCAGACAGGAAATTAGGGAAAATCTGCAATGGAAACACATACAGAAATGAAAAGCAGGCAGGGGTTATAGCCGGTACTCGGCGATACTTCCCTTATCAAGAAACCGGCTTCCGGGGCAATCAGGAAGGCGGGCCGGGTGTCATGCTGTTTGGCCGGATTGATGCTGATTGACTGGGAAACCGGCTTCCCAGCCAATCAGCATCGGGCTGGCTGTTTGGCCGACTCGATGTTGATCGGCCGGAAAGTCGACTCCATGCTGTTTGGCCGTATCGATGCCGATTGGCCGGGATGCTGGCTTACCACCTAATCAGCATTGGCCAGGAAGCCAGCTTCCCAGGCAATCAGCATGGAGTCGGATTCCCGGCCAATCAGGAAGGTGGGAGGCAGATCAGAAGCCTGCTTCCCGGCCAATCAGCATCGAGCCAGCCAAACTTAAATTATTGAATGCATACTTTAAGAAAAAAAGTATAATGTTTGTGTTTAACACATGATTTTAATAGTAAAAGAAAAATAAATACTGTAGTGTTTCCAGTTGATCCTGCATGGTCTTGGCATGGTTCGTAGCAGTGTTCATTTCATGGCTCATTGCTGCCATCTCCTGTTCATGCTTCTTAACAAAATGATCACACCTAAATCCAGAAGAAAACAAAACATCAGACATTGCTAAGAAGCAGTATGCTGTTATCTGCATAATTACAATCTCAATACAAATTAGTAAACTAAATGTGAGATTGTAGTCCATCACAGGAGTGAGCTTGGAGCGGTGGTTACTTTACAACACCTACAGGGACCATGGGGAACAAAAATAGCCACCCTCCAGATATGATTTGAGCATCTACAGCTGAGGATTTTTCAAACAAATTACTTTTTCGTTAATAGTTAAGGTACTTGAATGCATTTTTAAGATTTAACTCTTGAATTTAGTCTCACTTTATCATAAAATATAAGAAGAAAGAGGAAGAAACGTTGTGCATGCATTATCAACGGTAATAATACTCGCCTCTCTTGACACTGTTTTAAATTGTTCTCTTTATCTCCTAATTCCTTTTTCAAAACATCAGTTTGGTCTTCTGTCTAAGGGATGCAAAAAACTGCAGTCAATGTTTGTGGTCTTTTAAAGTACACTTGTGGCAAGGCTATATCCATTCAAATATTCATATATTCTTAGCAAGCAGTAAATTAGTTTTAACCCTTGCCCTGCCACTGCGGTTTTTTTGGACATGTTATAATCCACATTTTAAGCCTGAAATTTACTTGAAACCTATGAGAGTTATATACTTCCTGAAAGCAAAAATCCTGTAGAATAAAATGGTGGCGATTTTACATCACATGACATTAGCGCAACTCTTTATAAAACCTAAGAAATACACTTAAAGTTCATTTCCACTTTTGTAAGTGATTAGAATTTATTGTCGTAATATAGTGGGGAACAGTGATGATTAGGCATTTTCATGACTCACATTGCAGGCTTTCTTAATTTTTTTAATGAACTTTTTACTAGGCCTGAATCCCAGAATGTAAAAATGTTCTCCAACAGAATTTTAATCTGACCACGGGGTCGGATTGCAAAGCAGGCTGTAAACAGCTGCCCCCTTCCCTGTGATTCTGTGTAACGCATGGTATGTTTACAATTATTTTACTTAACTTCATTGCTATCACATAGAGGGGCTCACATCCCCCCCCATGTGATAGCATATTAGTGGTGATAGGTTCTCTTCAAAGTGACATTAGGGGTCTGTTAGACCCCTAGTGTCACCTTTGCACTTCATCTATTGAAGGAACAGATCATGCCTGAATAGCTTCTTCCCTGGCTTCTTCATTCAGCGGGGAAGAAATCGATGAACAGACAGGTCCGTCTCTCTGCTTTCCATTGACACCTGCAGTACCAGTCAGAGGCCCGCAGGAGGGACAGCGGAAGCCCAGAAAGCAAGGAGGGGGGACCAATTCCACCAGCTGGTGGAAACAATCTGGCGGTCAGCTGCCAGAATCACTTTCAGTGTAAAGTTGACAGTCGGCTTTTCACAGGTAAACAGAGTCCCGGCAGCTATAGCCTGTTTACAGCACCATAATGGATATAGCGCTGGCAGCAAAAGGGTTAAAACAGGCACTCACTGACATCTGTAGCTGCAGGTACTGTGGCGCAATTAATCCGCAAAGTTCACAGAAGAAGCACTGAAGTCATTCAAGCAAATCTTACCCCTCTCAGCAGTGACATGCTAGTCTTCCAGCCTTCTAATCTCTGAGAGAAGAAAGCAAGGTGAGATGAACTGCCAATTGCCACTTTAGTGCTTCTGCTGTGAACATTAAAGATGGATTGCTCTGCAATAAAAAAAAACAAAGAAAAGAAAACATCAAACCTTTTTAGGCGGTAAAGAATGGTAGGTAAGTAAACAGCCTGCTCTTTTGCATTACATTAATATTTATATAAATACACATACAGAGATAGAGTACATATAGAAAAATATATTTTCACACAAGTGTTCTACTAATAAAAATATTTTATATGGAATACTGAGTAAATTAACACATATTTATGTTTAGCATCAACAGGTTAACTTACAGTGTGAAGTTTTGTTTTGAGAGAAGAAACTTCATCAGCCAGCTCCTGACACATCTCTACCACAAATGTTCCAAGGTTGCTAAGATCACAGTTCGGAGATATTTCCTTTCCAGAAGAATTGATATATGTTAAGATGGCTCCCTGGATATCCTGGTGTACATGATCACGCTTCTGCAACATTTCTTTTAGAATGTCAATGTAGGCATGGGCCTGCTTCAACATCTCCTCTTGCACCCCATTGGCAGTCTCTAGTTCCTGTATTCTACCTTGAAGTTGTCTATTCCCCTCTTCTTGTTTTTTTGATTCATTACATCTGCAAAAAACAGTTAAACACACGAAACGATAGTATGCTAAAAACTCAGAACTCCAGGCAAAAAAAAAAGACACTGCTTAAGTATATATGGCAACTGTTCCAGTATTTAAAAGACCTGTCACCCTTTTGAGGCACTCTTGGGAAGCACAGCAACGCCACATAGGCACTAAGGTGATGAAACTGGGTATCTTTGCTGCAGTGCGGTGGTGCACTACAGCAATCCAAGCCAAATAACTCTAAAGCCTAAAGATGAGCCTGCACACTAAATAAAAGATGCCTGGCCCCACACATCGTACCCTTAGAGGAAGTTGGAAGTGACGAAAACACATCGGTGGGCACTGCAGGACACACTGGCACCATGAGGAAGTGTTCTAGGACACGGCTGACAGTACTAAACGGATTTAAAAGGCATATGATACGAATATTTATGGAAGTGCAATCATAGTTTTCTTAATAAATGTGTTTTTAATACTACACAATGGGGAGCATAGATGTGTTCTTTTGAGTACCTATGGAGGAACATCGGGCATAAGAAGAAAGAGCAGTGTAGCTGGTAAAAAGAAAGGTGCTTAACCCTTTGGATACCGAAGGATTAGAGTGGTTTTCTGGCAAGAATATGTGGCTCATCTGAAATAAGGTGGCCATTGAAAGTTGGTGAGTGCGGATATATATCCTTAAGCATGGTGGAATTATGGGTTTTGTTGTCTGTGAACAAAGACGGAGGTGTATTCTATATACGTTTTTTTATAAAAAGGACTGCACAAAAACTGTGAAGGGATTGAAGTCACAAAGAAGTCGCTTTATAATTTGCAGAGGAATCTGGAAATCACTATTGTAACTGATATTATATTCACGTGAAAATGTACATTGTCATCTGAATACAGGTGGGAGGTTTGATGGTATATTGATTTATATGTTTAATGAGATTTCATTAGATTTAGCCAATATAAAGCGCAGTGCAATATATCTTTATTATAAGAAGTAAACACTGCCCAACATGACAGAAACCTTGGCAGCAGACCAGGGCACTGTACCTAAGGTCTGTGGTAATATTTAGCATTTCATGAAGGGTTTGAAAGGAAGATACACCTGTGTCGATGGGCTTTTGTTCAAGTCATATGGGATTACACTCCCATACAAGTGCATGAGAATTCCAAACCAGCTTGAAGCAGGTCAAATGCAGGTCAGGGGGAGGAGAACTGCGGGTCAAATGCACCTGTCAATGAATGTCTAATGATCTAAGAAATATCTCATACTGATGTCATCAAAACCAAGTCCAGAGCCCGTTGACACCTTGGGCTATTTTAATTGGAGAAGATGGTGCCATGGACAATTTCATTCTGTGTTTAGGAATTAGTTCTGCTTTAGGGCCTGTGTCAATAGGCTTTGGACTTGTGTTGATGACACATGCTTGTGGGGTGATCAGGTGCTCTCCTATAGAGTCCGCCTAAGCTCCCTATCTCTACAAATAGGCTTATAAGGGTGAAACGTGTCGAGGCAGTGTGCACCTAAGCCAGAACTAGTGGCAATGGTATTGCCTCAGTAAAGCTGTTCTTATGGCAGTGACACCATCAGTGTGTGGCCTAACCTTTTTTTTCGGATTTGGCATGCCATATTTATCTCTTGCTTTTTCAACCCTTTTCCCACTGGCAGAAATGTGGACAAATGCCAAAACAAAAACATTTCTACTAGATGTTCTTCTGTATCCAGCATCTGTTTGAAGAAGCCCAGGAGAAAATAACTACTTACCTAATATCCATCTCAGCATTCTTTTTTATCAGTTCCTGGACCTTCAGGTTCAACTCATTGATTGATTGACTGACAAAGTGTTGATGGTGCCTTTGTGTACTATCAATCTAAGAGGAAAATATAGCTCAGTATTACTACAGTACATCTGGTTAAGTACTGCTAGCAGAAATTAGCAGCACAAATTCACTGCAATTTCACAAATTCACATATTTCACCAATTACTCATAGGTTTAACTCAATGCAACTCACAGCGCACTAATGGTGTTTAATTTCAGTTTTACTTCCTACAGTTGCAAGGGGACAGACAACTAAACAACACTTCCATGATATACAGTGCTTCCTGCATATACTATGTCAGATATTTACTACTACCACTTTCCCAGGGTTGCTTTGTGATTTCACAGTAGAACGAACAGAGCATTGTCACCCTATGACAGACTGCAGCATACTGTATAATATGTAATTTTTTGACATTGGTTCTATTTCAAACAACTAACCTCATGCTGCTAACCCAGTCCCATAGCTGAGATGAATTTAAATCACTAGAGGTCTCTGATGCTGTTTTCCACACTCAGGAACCAGAAGACTGCAACATCTGTTAGTACCCCAGTCTCCAACTAGCAGCTCCAGAGTCACTCTCAGCTAGGCCCCATTCACACTTGCGAATGTGGCTGGATCGTATGAGTCTCATAAACTCCTCTGTGAGACTTATGCAATTTCATGTACTAATCACAGTGGCACTATGGCACTATGGCACACCTTGCTTAAAGCACTTTCTTTAGCCTATAAGAAACAGTCCCTACTATGAAAGTGCCACTCAGTTGTGCTTACCTCTCTGACCAGAAGTTCCTAGTCCTTCCCTGGTGTCGGTGGGATGGAATGCAATGTATTCTATTTGGATAAGCTAATCTCGACAATAAATAGATATGAGCACAAACCATCACAGAAAATTACATGCAATGTGTGAAGCGGCCCTTAGTGGATGAATATGGGAAAAGCCAAGTGGTTTATGTGATGGACCCCCTGATACCCTGACTGGATATCTCCATCTTAAGGCTGTTCCCTGGGTGCAGGAACAGAAGCCAGTGAATATAGGAGTCCGTCAAAGTTTAAGCGATAACAGATAACCACCAATACATGGTACAAAATCTAATACTAAGGTACAAGGATCAGTATCATAAAACACAATGGGGTTAATTAACAACATTTTCACTTTGCAAAGAAATGTTTGCTTATTTTTGTGAACGAAATGAAACATCACATTGCAATGAACACCCAATTATATGCAAGGAAAATGTAAATAAAAAACAGGATTTTGCTTCAATATGATTAAAGTCAGTACAACTTTACCTCATTCACTAAGCTAAGTGAGTTCTCTCTTAGCAAAGTTAATTTTTTACTTACCCTAGGAAAAGAAGTAAAGTTGTGCTAATCATCCAATCATGTGCGAGCATCATTTTCCATGCACATAATAGAGAATCCTTTGCAAAATCTAAAATAAGTTACGATTTACTTTGCAAAGTGAACTTTTACTTTGAAAGAGAAAATACTTTACCCCTTTAGTAAATCAAGCTTATTAAATGCTATGATATTGACCCTTGTAACTCATTAACTAAGATAAGTGAAAATTCACTTTGTAATCTGCAGTGTGGTTGGTTTTAACACCAAGACTCTACATAATTAATAAATAACTTACTTCTTCTGGCCTTTTCTGTGCATTTATGAATAATGAAGAATAATCATTCAGCAATGTCTTTACTGGTTGCTTATCCACCAGGCAGGTGGATCCATCCAGACCCTTCTGCATCACACTGCATTGTGTTTCTAAGCCACCTTCCCTTTGACTTGTCTGACTAGCAACCAGACGACTTTTTAATATTTGAAGGGGCGCAGACGATAACACATTGTTGTTACCCCTTAATGAACTGGAAGCATGTGATACTAAAAAAAAAAAAATGGAAAGTGTTAGAGTCCATTTACTCACATACAGAATCATGCACAATAACTGACCAATAATGATGAGAAAGAATGTTAACTTCTGTTAAAGCCCAACTAGAGGCAAAACTTTTTAAGTCTTGGAGAGAGTAGTGGAGGGCTATAATCACTTTCAGTTTATTATTGTTATATGCTATATATTTTCAATCACTTCCTGTCTTCAAGGCCACAGAAGAGGAGAGGGCAGTGTCTTTATATCCGTGTTGAAAATATTTCCCTATTCAGTTATCCAAGCAGGGTGTAAAACAAATCTCCCCAGTAAGGTTACAGTCAACAATACAATAGAACAGACGTTTTAACCCTCACTATCCAAAACTAATAAGGTTTATGAGGTCAGTGTAATAGATTGGTAAATATCCTGCTCCTATGCATATATTAATTTTGTTCTGAAAAGGAATGAGATAGCTTCTTTAAAAAAAAAAATCCACCAGCTCACCAAGTGGGCTTAGGGGTGTATACCTAAAAAGGCCCTCCCAACTTTTACACTGGCAGTACTGAATGCATACTAGTGCTGGTATCAGAATGATTGTGGTGCTGATATCTGTGAACACACTACAGATATGCACATAGTGAAGGCAGACAGCATTCACGGTTCTACTAGCACTGCTTAGATGGCACAATCCCTCAGGGATGTGGAAAGATATATAAATAATCTACAACTACCTACTTCTTGTCTCTTATTTGCTAGCTATAGCAGAGGTACTGGCCACTCCAGCTGTGGCGAAACTACAAATCCCATGAAGCATTGCACAACTCTGATTAGCTGCAGTCACTGTTCGGTCAATAAAAAAAAATCAACTTTTGTTCACTGGAGGGGTACTAACAAGGCCATCCGCAGCTCAAATTTCAGCCAAGTCAGGAGGACTCGGCTGAAATTCAAGCAGAGTATGGTCAGCTTGACCATGTATTGGACTGAGGCTGTTTGCAATAGTGTAACCCTGGCATTGGGGATTCTGGGGGTACATCCGGTAGCAGATGTATGGCCTTTTGCAAGAGTGCATAGGGCTCTTAGGTGATAGTGCCCATAGTCGTTAAAGATTTAAACCTAAAATTGGCTCTAGTGATGTTTATTCATTTATATTACTGTTGTGACCACATTATAGTCATTTCCTTTGAAGGATTTAATATATCCTTCAAATGCAGAATTTGTTTTTGGCACAGAAACGGGTAAAATAAATGATAAGATCACCAGTGTTAAAACTGAGATATTCACACTCATACATGAAGCAAGATTTGAAACGTTGCAGCATAACAAGAAGAACATACATCTGGAGATGGCATTATTGTCATTGACTGTGTTCTTGTGGCATTTTTCATGAGAAGACAAGGACAACTGGTTTATTGTATGCTGTGTAGCTTGTTCCACCTCTTTTTGCAATTTCTGGATTTCTTTAGTTTGTTCATCCAGCTCTGCCCTACGAAACAAAAAAGTCATGGTTACATTTCTGCCAGAAAGTAATGCGTGATGTATACATGTATACACAATCAAGAATATGATACTTGACAAGAAATTGGTATAAAGTAGAACTATAGCCTCATTCAAACCGGGAGTGTTTCTCCATACAGCGTGAAGAGTTGGTTATCAATGCACCAGGAGCTGAAGCATGCTGGCAGCTCATTTTTGGAGACGCAGGAGCTGAGCACCCTCATATACTACTCCCCTGGAGCTCTGAGTTTTGACATCCGCACACAGAATGTATACGGCCTGGGACGCGGACATGGTGGATTCAGGTCCATACACGGTCTGTGTGCGGCTGTCAAAGCTTGGCAACTGCCGGAGCTGCAACAACGCACTACTCCACCCACTAAAACGCAGCGCTTTAGTGGACGGGCTAGCGTTAACAGCTCTAAAATATAATTTTTATAATAATTTTATTTTACAAGAATGGCACGGCACAGCACACAGTTGAGTCAAAACATACCATTATTTCCTATACTGTATAATACAGTATTAGATTGCACGCTTGGCTCACCAAGTTTGTATAATAGGTTCTTTATTATCACATAACTCAAGCAATTTACAGACTGCTAACACTCTTTCTGAGGCATATTTATTTGCATTAGTCATAGTTTTATTGTAAGTACCTTAATGTTAAGAGGTTTCTGCTCGCCATTGCCCTGGCAACATCTGAAAAAGAAAAGACATTTTGTTACATGTTGATCACTGGTTACAAGTATGGATGACAGCGGGAAATGAGAAAAACTGAAGCCTGTAATCTACCATCTGTTTGGCACCCTCCTTCAGCATCCTTTTGTATGTCCCTAGTTTTCTGCAGTCACAGGACCAGTGCACAAATTATTTTTATTCAAGTGACAGGAAAAGAAATGATTGTTTAAACATACACTAAATATCCACTGTCTACCTATTCTGTATGTAGCCAATGGTTCCGTTAGTGTCCGTAATGCAAAATGGCTCACCTAAAGAATAAGATTTCCTAATACAGGACATAAATGCATCAATCCAGTCGTTCACTGAATCAATTGTCTCTGTCTCCAGAAAGATTCAGTGCAACATCCTCTCTCCTTGATGTATAAGACCTTAATCCAACCGGAGGAAGACTTCTTCGCCCCCCTTTGTTGGGACGTGGGAACCAGATCTGAATCTTCTTCTAACAAGCAAAAAAGTGACACCCTGTACTTTACTTACTACGCCTCCATCTCCAGCAAAATACAGGGAAAAAAAAAAAAGATTATCTCCCGCTGGTACACAGTGCGCACGGTATTACATCAAATGTTTGCTCAGACCTCCCAAGTTGGCGAGGAGATGGGAGACCTAATACATATCTTCTGGTCCTGCCAGAGGAGTTGCCACTTCTGGACAGAGGTAGGGAATCATATCAAACAGCTTACAGGAGTAGATGTTCAAGACAACCTGGCTGCCTGTCTCCTACATGTCTTCGGCCTCGCTAGGAAGCGTTTCAAGAATTCGCTTTTATTCCACTTGCCTAATTTCGGTGAAATTGTGCATTCCGGCAAGACAGGGGACTAAATACAATCTGTTAAAAATAATTACCTTTTTATTGCCGTCTGTCCTGGAGATACAACAGGAAGTGAAAGGAAATCTTTCAAATATGAGGCGAAATCCAACCTTTGTCTGTTGCCAGCAAAACTCCTGCCCCCACTGAGGAATTTCCTTTCATCTTTTTGTTCCAGAGGCAATAGTCACCAGCACCAGGTTCACTTTATTGTAGTACTTTCCAGTAGCAAATGCTACCTCTCTTCCTCTTCCTTGCCACTCCGTTCAGCACCTAGGCCTAGGGGAAGGTTGGTGCCTTTTTTATGATAAAATACCAGCCTAAAGATCTACAGTATATCCAAATAATACCACTGGCAACCAGTCTCATTTTTATAAAAATATGACACATCCTACAGCACACAGGCATTTACATTCAGAGGACACACATTTATTTATTTTTTTGCAATATCAGTATTGTAGCAAGTATTGTTAGAAGAGTGTGGTAGCCACATGGTGGAATTTTAAATCCTGTCCTGTAATTTCAGAGACATTCTTCTTACATGTAATGCAATGATGTCCACATGTAATTGCAAATTGCAAATTGTGATCTGGAGATCTGCTATCTAGCCAATCAAGGTGGCTTAGTGAACAGTAACTTATAGGAGTCTATTACAGGCCCCTGACAAATCCTTAGCATACATGGGCCATAATAAAAAAAGCTTTAAAGGAGAACTATGAGGTGAGTGATTTTCACTCAGCCTCATAGTTCTAGCCGACCTGTGACAATGGAACTGTTACACGTCGGCTCAGTAGATTGGGAAGTGAGCGAACACATACCGGCGTTCGCTCACTTCTCGATCCTGTCACGGCTCTCTGCCGTGACAGGGGAGGGGCTGGATTCCCCCCTCCCCGCTCCGATCCTCCAGCGCTGACTGGCAGAACGGACGGGGAGGGGATGGGAACAGCTGGCTCTGCCTCTAGATAGGCAGAGCCAGCTGTCACTCACGCAGCTGGGCGGATCCAGACATAATTGTCGGGATCCGCTTCAGCTGCGGCGTCTCAGTATACCGCGAGTTGTAGCTCGCTGTATACTGAGCCTAGGGTGACGGGAGGACGCTAGTTTGTGTTGTCCCGTTACCCTAAGGAGAACTATGGGAAAAAGCCCTAACCCCATAGTTCTCCTTTTAAAAGCATGGCAACTCAGAAATATGGAAGCTCTTAGCACATGTCACACAATGCTCTAACAATATGCAAAGGGTTACAGAAAAGTTACATAGTTACATACCTTTGTGTGTGTATATGAATCCCTGTGTGGTCTAGTTTTTAAGAGTACCTGTATCCCTGTATGTTGTGGTCTCTGAGGAAGGTATCTAAATGCTTTTTGAATGATTCAATACTCTTTGGTGATACCATTGCTTGTGGCAGTGAGTTCCAGATGTTAACCGCTCTAACGGGAAAAAAGTCCCTACGTCCCTTGTGGTTAAATCTTTTCCCCATCAGTTTTAGTTGGTGGCCTCTAGTCCTTGTTACGGAGTTTACAGTAAAACGTTTATTGCAGATGTTGCCATCACCCCTAAACATTTTGTACATCAAAATCATGTCTCCTCTTAGACTCCTCACTTCTAGTGTGAACAAGTTTCAATTTAGTAGCCTTGTCTCATAGCTCAGGTCCTCCAGACCCTTAATTAGTTTAGTTGCCCATCTCTGGACTCTCTCCAGCTTAAGGACATCCTTTCTGTGGATGGTGACCAAAACTGGACCGCATACTCCAGATGAGGCGGAACCAGCAATCTATAAAGTGGCAAAATGATTGCTTTGTCTCTACAGTACATTCCCCTTTTAATACAAGACAGTACTCTGCTCGCTTTGTTTGCCGCAGCCTGGCATTGCAAGCTATTGTTCAATCTGTGGTCCACTATGACCCCCAGATCTTTTTCCATTTCTGACATACTCATTAATATGTATTCCTCTTGCCTGTTTTTTTACCCTAAAATTATTATTTTATATTTTTCAACATTAAACCTCATCTGCCATGTAGTTGCCCACTCCCCTATTTTATCCAGGTCCCTCTGCGTTGCTATAGTGTCTACGTCCGTGTCTATGACCCTCCCAATTTTAGTATCATCTGCAAACACATGGCTATTAACACCTTCCCCGATATTGTTAATAAACAGGTTAAACAGTATTGGGCCTTGCATAGAACCTTGAGGCACGCCACTCTCAACCATGGACCAGTCTGAAAAAGAGCCAATTATCAATACTCTCTGGGTGCGGTCCTATAGCCAGTTCTCTATCCATGTACACACCATTTCATCTATGCCCATAGACCTCAGCTTGTGTACTAAGCGTGTACGTGGTACTGGGTCAAAAGCTTTGGCAAAATCCAGATACACTACATCCACCGGCCTCCCTCTATCCAGATCTCTACTCACCTCTTCATAGAATGTCAGTAGGTTGGTCTGGCAAGAACGGTCATTCCTAAATCCATGCTGATTATCACTTATAATACCATTGCCACAATCAAAATCCCCTAAATAGTCCTTTATCATTCCCTCTAACAGTTTGCATACTATTGATGTTAGACTGACTGGTCTGTAGTTCCCAGGTTGGCATCTTGAACCTTTTTTTGAATATTGGTACTACTGTAGCCTTCCGCCAGTCACTTGGTACCTTACCAGTTATTATGGAGTCCTTGAAAATTAGGAATAATGGTCTCCCTATAACCTGGCTGAGTTCTTTAAGTACCTTTTGGTGCATGTTATCTGGTCCTAATGATTTATTTGCATTATTTTTTTAAGCCTTTGTTGTACCCCAGTTACTGTCAACCACTGCGGTGTTTTACGCACTGAGCAACTCACATTCTTATCTCCATTAAACCCGTCACTCTCCTGAGTGTATACCGAGGAGACAAATCAATTCAATACCTCAACCTTTTTCCATGTCTTTCGTGACTAATCTCCCGTTTTCGTCTTTTATTGGCCAACCTGCTCTTTCTTTACCCTTTTACTGTTTATATACTGGAAGAATTTTTTGGGGTTCTTTTTACTGACTGTGTCAATATGCTTTTCATAATCTATTTTAGCCGCCCGGATTTCATGTTTACATCTCTTGTTGCATTCCTTGTAGTTCTGGAATGCCAATGCAGTCCTCTCCATCTTCTATTTTATAAATGCCAGCTTCTTTTCTTTGATGTGTTGTCTTACTGTTTTATTTAGCCGTGCAGGCTTAGTTCTTGATCTTTTATTTTTGTTTCCCAATGGCATGCATTTTGCAATAGCATTGTGTAATGTGTTCTTAAAACAATCCCACTTCTGGTCAGTGTTCAGTGTTAGAAATATGTTGTCCCAATTAGTGTTGCATACTATCTGACGCAGCTTATGGAAGTTTGCCTCTCTGAAGTTTAGTGTTCTTGTCAGACCAACATACTTCTCTTTTCTGTATCCAACATTAAAAGTGATCATCCTGTGATCACCATTACCCAATGTATCCCTAATCATTATGTCCCCAACATTATTAGAGATTATTAAGTCTAGTATTGCATTCTTCCTGGTTGGGACATCAACCATCTGATCCAAGAAAGTGTCCCTTAACAGGTTCAGAAAACGGCCAGCCCTTATAGAATGCGAGGTTCCGGGGGCGTGGTCTGGCCGCTTGATCTGTGAGCGGCGGCGCCGGATCTAACGAAAACCACGAATTACCTCATATATAGCATCGTCAACCTGCCGGTATAGTCCCGATCGGCTTCCGAATGGCTACAGCGATGTCCAAAGATAAAAATAAGTCCAAAGGCCATAAGAAACTGACGGATTTCTATCCGAGGCCTGGACAGAAAAAAAGTCAAAATGGCGCCGGTGGGAAGTGCGTCACAGTGCCCCCTATCACTCCTTCTCCCTGCAGCACCGACTCTGACATGGAGGAGAACTGCAGCAATGATAGAAATCGTATGCAGGATTTATCTAAGAGACCTGCCAGCTCACCCTTAAGCTTTCCTCACACTAAAGCACCAGTGACTAAAAAACAATCTATAGTATCTGGTCCAGCCAGCCCAGTCATCACTCCATTACAGGATCTTCCTGCTACTGACACCCCAGCTTCTGAGACTTACATTAAGAATGTGTTAATGTCACTGAGATCAGAATTTCAGCAGGACATCCAGTCCTCTCTTTCTGGAT